GGGTGTGAATACAATACACAGATGTGTCTTATTAAAGCCGAGAAAGAGAGTGATTTCTGTGAAGCTGGGAAGTCTATAAAAGTACATTTCCACTGTAGAGTTCAATAATAGAATAAAATTATTTTGGTGACCAAGTCTTGGGGACGTTATAATCACATCTTCCATTTTTTTTCTCACATGGAGGGCTATACTTCACTACTACTCAAGATTGTAAATGAATGCTACTGAAGACAATCTGGCTTTGGCACCAATGATTACTATCCTAACCTTAACTCAACCCCCTACCTATACACCTCTCCCCTACGCCTACCCCTACCCCTACCCCTAACTATAACCCTAACTATAACCCTAACTCTAACCCATACAGTTACGAGCTTCCATTATTCTTGGGACCAAAACTGGAGACTCCTTGTAACTGTTTTACTACAAGTATGTAGACTATTTATGTGCACTTAACTGTCTCTCTCGCCTCTGGTGTAGGTAGCCTAGTGGTTAGGATACAGAACCCGTCATCGTGAACCTGTGGGTTTTGGGGGGTTCGAGCCTCAGCTCGGCCCAACGTTTTGTCTTTGGGAAGGGCATGTTTCCTGAAATGTCCCACTTGGCTAGGTCCTCTCAGAGAAGGACGATGAATTCGGAAGCCCTCCTACCTCTTAAATAACATTGTAGTATTCCAAGAGGCGATATCTCTTTGAGGACGCGCATTCCGGTGTTTCGGAAACGTTTTGAAGTGTTATTTCATTTTTCATGCAGATTTTTCAGTCCAATTTACCTGAAATTTAAAACGGCAAGCAACGACATGCATTCCATGAAATACTCAAATTTGTGTTTCTGAATTGTGTGTGGTGGTTTGAAATGTATCACAACATTGCCTTTGGTCTGTCAATAATCAATAGTGTTGATAGGGGGTCTTAAATTAAATAAACCCAAACAATTTATTTACTTTGTTACAGCTCGGACGTATTAAGTGTCCGCTATGATGTGATGTGGCCACCGAATAAACTTACTTACGTCGTTTAAGAATTAAACTAAAATAATTTCGGACAAAGATTCTCTCTCTCTCTCTCTCTCTCTCTCTCTCTCTCTCTCTCTCTCTCTCTCTCTCTCTCTCTCTCTCTCTATCTATCTATCTATCTATCTAGCTAGCTAGCTAGCTAGCTTGTACCGGTTGT